AAGTAACTTAAAGAAGTCCAGACGCTTTTCTTTGCAAGCTCCTTTGACTACGATGACCTGGATGACTGAGAACCTTCACAGACATGAAGGAGGAGGTGGGACCTCAATATCACATCTCCACCCCTGCTTTACAGAATATCCTTACAAATGAACAGTGTGCCCACTTGCTCCACTTCTGTTAAGTTTTATCTATAGATTCTATGTTATGCACCCACCATCATATGGTCCATATGGTTTAGTAACTCATCTCTGACCTTGAGTATGTAACTCATCCCATCTCTCCGCCTAAAGAACAACTTACTTTGGAGCTGCTTCTGTGTAAATTGTTTAAATAATAATATTATAATGTTTAACCTCATTAATGAGCCTAATAGAACGACATATTACAGACAGGCACCATCAGCCTGAAGAGAAGAATGCATTTATATTTATGAATAAAAAGAAGTTAACATGTGTCACCATATTACATGCAATGAAATAAAAGTAAAAGAAACTTTAGCAAATCGGCGTTCCTTCTCTTGATGTACATTTTTCATAACATTCACATGTTTTTTGTTTGTTTTTTATTTGGGCTTTTCCATAAAGAGTTTTCGGCGCTACAGTTAGCCGGCGCTGAGCGTGAAAGCCTGTATCCTCGAGGTTTAATGAAGCGCCTCAGCAGTGTGTAATGGACACAGTTGCCTGTAATCTTGTCATTAACACGCTGCAGACTGAAGCTCTGTGCCGCTCTTTATTTTTCTTACCAAACTACCATTTTCAGCTTTCTAATGTGAAAATCAGTCAAAGTCAGGCTTTAAAATATTGAATGTTACTGTTACTAGTTATTGATATTCACTGACCAATCACAATATTTACCTGAATATTGTTGTTTTTTTATTACATAAAGATCTTGAATGACCATTCGTCATCTGTTTCTGTGCTAAGTATAGTACGATTGTATGTGGCAGGTAATGGAGTATTTTGCTTTACAGTCCACTGATTCGTGCTCTTAAGTTTTAAAGTTATATGGATTTTACATATGAGTAATAATGTCACACTGATGATGTAGCTAATGCTACTAGCTGGTAAAAACACTGTGCAAGGCAGACTTAATCTCATTATTGTTGGAATGATTGAGGCATTTTCTATCTTTGCATATATATCTTGCCCTTATGTCTGATTAAAATGATGTATTTTCATAAATACAGCAGTATGTGGTAAGCAAGATAATGCAGAAGTTATATTTAAGTTTAAATTAGCAAAACTTCCATTATTTTAAATAATGGAAATCCCTATGACCCAGAAGCTTACTTTTCTCCACTCTTAGATCCTTATGGTGTCAAAAAGCCAAGAACTATTTAATATGGTCATATGGCAGAATGCTAAGAAAGAATGAAGCTGGAAATGAGCAACAAAATCCTAGTTTAATCCGTAGAGCAAAGCACTTTAAACCAGGAGAGGAGGGAAATAGAACGATTACACCTGAAGGGAATAATAATACTCTAAATCCTAAAGTGTGAAATTTATCTTCAGCTTTTTCCTCCAAGTTATAGTCCTGTGGTTTGTGTTTGTATTATGTGAAGTTAAACTCATTTTGAAAATAAATAAATAAACTACATCAAAATAAATTATTAGAAAATGTTTAAACAACAAAGTCAAAGGAGCTTGCAAAGAAAAGCGTCTGGACTTCTTTAAGTTACTTGAAGACGTTTCACCTCTCAGTTCTTCAGTTCTAAGGTCAAATGGTGGAGAGTCCCAGATATAAACCTAGTGGGAGTATCCCCCCACAGAGGGACAAAAGGACCCCCTGATGATCCTCTAATTGCCTGAGCCAAGGTGTGGAACTGAGTGTGGGTCCCAATCAGCCAGAGTTTCGGGTGAGTTCATTGTGAAACCTGGCCCCACCTTATCATGCGAATTCCTGAGGTCAGATGGCCCAGGATGTGAGTGGGCGTTAAGGCGTCTGGGAAGGGATCTCAAAACTGGATTATAGATGGCAGAGAGTTGGTGAAACGTCTTCAAGTAACTTAAAGAGGTCCAGACGCTTTTCTTTGCAAGCTCCTTTGACTACGATGACCTGGATGACTGAGAACCTTCACAGACATATTTAAACAACAAACCAGAAGCACTCTGAGAGCATAAACCTCCTCCAAGGCAGAGTTCACTCTCTAGGTAGTATTTCATTTTAAGGAAAATGTATTAGAATTTGACCTCCTTCAAGGTCATAAATACAGAGGTCAAATGTGAGATGATATCTTAAATATCTATACTGTACTTTCTATATGTTGACAATACACAACACACAAAATGCTTGAACTAGAGGGACTCCAAACCTCTGATTGGTGGTGTAAATAAAACCATTAATATTTAAAACAGAAAATCTGGAAAAACTGAGCACACAACCTAGTTTCAGACATAACCGGAGCCGTTACAACAGTTCACCGGCTCATCAGCAATATGAAGACACAATTTGTGACTGTCATCCAGAATTCAGGTCATGATTTCCCATTTTTCTCTGTCTGCTCTTTCTTGCTTCGAGGTATCAATTATGCTCTGGCACATATGATGTGGCTTCAGAGGCTTTTAAAAGAAAACTCACAGCTGCAGTTTGACCCGAGCTTCCCCGACCGGCAGCGAAGGTGTAAAGTTAAAGACAAGAGAAGAAAATGATGTCGGCAGCTTTAATGGACGGTTGTTGAAAAGTCAAACCTGATCGGTGGTTCAAATTTCTCAGCTTTCAAGCTCAAGTCTTTGAAATGTTTGTACTCATGTTACCCGCTCTCTTGTCTTGCTTTGCAGCCTCGGGCTATACAGTGAAGAAAGGCTTATGATACACTCGTGATTCAGTTGAGGTCGTAGATAAGGGGCCGCTCTTGTGCTCTACATATAAATCACATAACGTATAGTTGACCTTGTGGTGTCTCATCTCAAATCTGGGTCATTTCCACACGACTGTCTTGACAGTCACATCTCATGACAGTATTAGTGTTCTGTTTTTCCCGAAAGGCTCATTTTCTCACTTTGGAACAAGCGCTCTCATAACATTTACATTGCAGATTCGCACCTGTCTGATGGCGTGCAGCAGCTTGCCGTAGGAGTAGAGGATGACGCCGAACGGCAGAACGAGGCAGAAGGTGAACAGGCAGATGATGTAGGAGATATTGTTTGGCGTACGTGTCCTCCAGTCAACCGAGCAGGTGGTGCCGGGACCCTCAGGACCATATCTGCTCCAGCCCAGCAGCGGAGGCACGGTCCAGGCCACGGAGTAAAGCCAGGAGAAGCAGATCCCTGCCAGGGTTGGGCGGAAGTCTCTACAGTCTGCAATAGTCTGCGCCATCATGGTGCAGTAGCGCTCGTAGGACAAAACAGCCAATGAGATGAGGGAAACAATACCTGAGGAGGGAGAAGTTCAGAACAAGTGGTCAGAGCCAGATATCAAGCAAATATTTGGGCTTTTGGGAGTCAGTGAGCAGAGGAGAATGAAAAAGCTTTCCTCAGAACTGGAGCAACTGCATTCTGTTTCCCTCAGAGTTAATGATTGATACATTTAGATACGAAGTCATGTCAATTTTCTGCTCGCTTTGATCATCTTAATAGCATTTAACTTTGCATTGCTGGGGCACAAACAGAGGAAAATGAACCTCATTAGCTGGCATTTGCTTTGAAAGCTTTACAGTAACTGTGATGGCAAAGGCCTGCTGGATTCATTTCAATTTGTACATCTTGGAGCGCACTAAGGTTTGAGCTTTTTGTTCATCCACACGTGTTTGCTTCAGGCATTATCATATGTCAACCGAATCAGAATGTTTTTGTCTCTTTGCTTATGTACTTTATTTCTTTCCACTACAGGGCCTTCAGCCTGCTCCACTCTGTGTGCAGTGGGAGGATCACACATACAACGCATTCACTGTTATTTGACTTTCTACATTCATTCATATCTATGAATTCCCACGCCTCGTAATCCCAGGTTTAACCCTCAAACAAGCCTTTGAAATGGTATGAAAGGTAAAGATAGGTGGCCATGTTTAAATTAAACCGATTGTTTCTGCCTTTGTTTTCCTGCGAGAAAATCTTGTTTCAATGACTGCTTCTTGATAAAGCGGCAACCTATAATCTGTCCAATCTGCACAGACATGTTTTGAGCAGGTGCAATCAGACATACCCCCGTTCAGTGAGTGCTTCTGTATCACTTTTAGCATTTGGCAGTCATTTGTAGCTACAAAAACACGAGTTACAAAGAATCCAAATAGCAGTATTCATCACATGCTCACATTTCTTTTGCTTAACTAGAGTTTGCATACTGTTTTTTCCCTCTTCTTCAGTTCAATGTTTTGATTTTGTGCTACTGGCAGTAAGTTAAAAACTACTGAACACTGACTATTCGAACTGCAGGTAGTCATTTTCATTCAAGCTCAATCAGAAGATTAGTTTCATGTTAACCAGAAAACACTAAAAAACTAAAAGGACTTTTGAAGAGCTTTTCCTTCACCAAGGAGAATGTCCTAGTTAATTGACAAACAACACCAGAAACAGGCATTGCATCACAATTTAACGAAACCTCAAAAGATCTTTAAATGCTTCTTTTTTCTGAACAACGCAATAAAATCAAATCATAGTCAATATATTCTTTGGTTAAGAAAAGAAAGCAAATTAGCCTAAACAACTGATAGATTATTTATTGACAGTTTTAATCATTGTCAACCGAGTAGCTCTAATTCGCTTGGGAAACTTTCAGTTAACTGAAAAGGGAGTTTATTCAACAGCAAAAGTTGTGTCGTGGACTGATACAAACCCTGAGTCGTTGTATCCTCTAGTAGTTTAAAATATCATCACAATCTGTTCACACCAAAAAATGAAAAAACAAAAAAAACACCACTTACAGAAACACTGATTTGCAGACAGCACAGCCATGTGCTGTCTTTCCTCTGTGTTAATTGCAGATTGATGAAAGAAAATTGTTGCTGAAGTGAGTTAAGTCTTAAATCAGAGCTAATCAACACATACAGGCGAAAGTACTGGTCCAGAGGCGCTTTACCTCCATTATGCTGAGTCTGCTTGGGAAAAGAGACTTTGATTACAGGCAATCAGAGTGCCTTAATGCATAATGAAGCCTTCTGATTGGCTGAAACCATGCCATGTTGGCGTGGACAGCACACCGGGGCTGGGCGCATGATGTGTTGAGAGGAATAGCAAAGGGCGAGTGTCTTTGAAATAATGGAAATGATTTGGTGCTGGTATGTCTTGTGAAAGATATGTGTGTGCGTGTGCGTACGTGTGTGCGTGTGTTTTCAGGTGGCTGAAGAGGGAGTTAGAGCTCTCACTTTTCATTACTGGCTAGATAAAGCATGGACACTTCAGATGTGTAGTTTTCCAGGTCAGACAGAAACTTCATTACACTCTGTACTAAGACAAAAACAAAAAATATCAGTTTAAAGTTCTTGATAAAAGCCAAGACACTGTAAAAAAAAAAAAAAAATGAAAACAAATATTTTAATTGCCATATATTTGAAGTCGCCACTAGGGGTCTCCAAAGTCAGTTTTTTGGCCAGATTGGCTTTGCATTTCTTTAACTTTTTTACCCTAAAAATGCATGGCTGATTTGTATTTTTTCAGAGTGTAGCAGTAGTGTTTTATAAATATGATCTAAACAGCTTGTGTGAGTTTAGTTCACTGTGTACCAAGTTCAGGGAAGCAATCTGCTGATACATTGCAAAGAATGGTTAATGTTACACTTTGTGGATTTTGTGCTCACTTCTCATTTTAAAAAGGATCGCCTCCAACAGTATGCAGCTACTGATTGTGAACACAGCTGCAGCTGCTTCACCCAGCAGCTGATGTGGTGTCATCCACGGACACATCCAGCTGTTACTGTCTGAACCTGTGTGCTTCAATATGCTGCCGACATACAGTAGCTTCAATACAACAATCATCCAGGAAAACCATCTGCATACATACAGAGTCAGACTCATAAAAAAATAATCAGAGCAAGAATCATAACTAATGAATCTTAGTCATGGTTAAAGTCACAGTGACAGCCGTATCATCACAGCAGCAGTCTGTCTCTGTTTAGAGAGAACACTTCCCCTCATCCACTCATCCATTTTCCACCAGAGGAAGTCTCAGAACACTTTTCCCACTCTTTCCCCACCATTTCCAATCTAGCCTAGAGACAAACCCTCCATGGCATGTTCTGCATCTGCCGTGGGGTTTCATCCCAGTTGGAAAATTCCTACATACCTGACCTAGAAGCTCTTCCACTTTTCCTTCTCAAGGCAATGGCTGAGACTCAGTCCTACACACAAAATAAGAGAAAGGCACACCATAGAAAAGACACAAATTGGCGAACAAAGTGTTGGAAGCAGAACAAAGAACCTGGTCTGAGTATAGAGTCTGTATGTGCGCGGCCTGAGTGATGAGGGGTGCTCAGACCGTGGCTCAAATTGGTGAGGTGAGTGGGGAGGGGAGGGGGGGATAGTGTTTGTTGGCACTCTGAATGGCTCAGGGGAAGAAGCTGTTTGTAAGATAATAATATTGTATTGCTGATTACGTTTAACCATTAGTGTCAACATTAACCTGCACTAAAGGAGCCATACAGATAAAGGTTATTTTTGAATAACAATAAAATTGGACAAGGAAAAATAATAGAAGTTTGCAACACTATTTTTTTTCTTTACCTCCCTCTGTGTTTTTTTTTCTTAATGAAAAAGACTTCCATCCATCAGTTTTCTTAACTGCTTATCCAGTTCACAATCGCAGGGAGAAAAGGCTTACATCCTTTAATACAACAGCCCCGAAAGGACAAAGTACAAACAAGGCTGATAGCAAAACATTTAAGAGTGAAATTCTGCAGTTTGGTAAACTCAACATCCACAAATTTAAAAAACAACAACAACAACAACAAAAACCCAGCATTTCATTAGGCATAAGGTTGACTCCTGAGCCAGGCCTATTCTGATCTCTTTGAGTTCTTAGGTAATTTACAATTGACTCCAGTGTCAAACATCTGATTAAAAAATGTAATTAAATGAAATTAATAAATGAAGCTTATAATATTCTTAAATGTACAGTTATGTGAGCCCATATTTTCTTTCTATATGACTTTTTTCACATTTCTCTTAAGGTCCCACCACAGCATTTCACTATGATTGAGGAGTAGACTTTGACTGTTTCATTGCAACACCTTTTCTTTTTTAGTCATTCTGTTGTAGATTTGTTGCTGTTCTCAGGATCATTGTTCTGATGCATGGGCCAGGCTTTAGCTGTCAGGCAGATGGCCTCCAGAACACTTTGGCATACAAAGGACTTAATGGTCAACTCAGTGACTGCAAATTGCCCAGGTTCTATGGCTGCAAAGCGACCCCAACATCCCTCCACCACCATGCACTTTGACAGTTGGTATGTGATATTTGTGCTGACATGCTGAGTTTGGCTTACTCCAAAAGTGAGGCTGTGCATGAGGGACAAGCATCTCCACTTTGGTCTTGTCTTTCCAAAGGAGATACTTCCAGAAATCTTTGTTTGGATGCAACTTTGAAAACCTAAGCTGTGCTTTCAACCTCTTCTAAGAGAAAAGAGGCTTTCTGCTGGCGACACTGTCCACGTGTCATTTGCCAAAGAAACAAGGGGGACAAGCTGAGAGAACCACTGACATCTATCCATCCAAAAGGGTCACCTGTTAAATCTAATACTTGCGCCACACTCATCTTGTTGGTTACTTCCCTCCCCCCCACCCCTAAAACACTTCTAAATACTCTCTGTAGTGGGATTTCTTTCATATTTTATATACTTATTCAATCTATTTGCACAGTAAAAGTACAGCATTGATCTTACTGTTGGTTTAGGAAGCAATATAAAAGCTCATAAAAAAGGACAAGAAAACCAAATGAGTATTGTGGAAAAAAATGAATTGCATAATCTCTGGTAAACAATACACAATGATATAGTGGATTCTCTTCATATGAATGGCCTGCCACCTCAGCAACTGGGCAACTTCTAAAGGCAACAAATCTTCCATTCATTTCCTATATTGACTGCACAGTCTGCACTCTTAGCCTGGTTAGAATATCAGCCCCTAAAAGTTGGCTTTGATTCAAACTTGGCCCACTTTGATTCTACAACATGCATTTTAATAGGATTTTCACCTGAGGTCTGATTCTTTCCCATCCAGCTCCGTATTGGTGTGGAATAGATTTATGGTAAAATGAATGACCCCACATTCCAAGCACAGCACAGCACAGGAGCTAATCATGTTTCATTGTCTTTTTTCTTCTCATTCTTTTCCTTCGTCTCACTCTCTCTTTCTCCTTCTTCATCTCACTCCTGCTATCTCTTTCCATCCATCTTCCTCGTACACTTCAGCTGACATTTTTCTTTTCCTTCATTTCTCTGCATTA